GGCCGCGACTCCCAGGAACATTTTCGTGGCTGTCAGTGAGTGCCTGGGGGTTCAAGGCCATGCCAGTCTCGTGGGATTACCAGCGAGTGTGTCTTATCAGCGTTTGGCGTTAAGGCTGCCTATCGTTCCAGAACACCAGATGACGGCGAGACGTCTACATCTTACAGTTCACGAATGAACAAACTCGCAGTAGGGCTCTGTGACCTTTCATGCTAAAGCCATCGTTGTCATGGAAACTAAGATTTTTCATACTTACTTTCCCGAGCAATTAGTTTTATCATCTCTCTGCGTATCAGCCTCGGAGAGCTGTTTCTTAAGCGTAAGCCCATTCTCGCAGCCGGCCAACTAGCGTCCTTTCTTTAATGTGACATCTGCATTTGTCTGTAAATTGAAGAGTGCAATTGAATGTGAACAAATTAGTGAAATTTTTGCTGGTTCGCTTGTAGATTTTTGTATCTGTGAAAGCCCCTCATGGATCAGCCTTTCATGAGGATTAAATTATGTATTAGGGTGAAATGCATAGGGTCCCGTATTTCCTACCCTCGACTAAACAGGTCAGCACGTTCAGATGTCAGTGTGACTGTATCGCCCACAGAAGTTGCCTTGGGGGCCTGCCTAAGTGACCGAGGGGTTCAGTCTCAGTGTTATCACCTCTAGGGCCTGAGTTCGATCCCCGGGCAGGGAGTGACCCACAGGGCGCAGCAGACCTCTCCTGTCTCCCCGCTGCTCCCCTCAGCAGTGGATTTCAGTGGATCTGCTTGTTCTGCGCCCCACTCTGGTGAATCGTCTAGCCCGCCCCCCCCTACATCTCTGGCCTACCCCCCAGTTCTTCATGCCTGAAAAAATAAATATATCTTTTAAAAAAAGATGAATGGAAATTGCTACCGTTGTCAAACAACGTGTCACATACAAAACAGTTCTCGTCGGGACTTTGTGGAGATTTCTGATGGCCTGCAGTGATGTTGAAATTGCATGTCTGAATCCGTGCCCTGGCCAGGGGCATCGGACTTCCTGTGGATGTTGAGCAAGAGGGCTTGCTCAACCATAAAGTACATTTACAAGGCTATTCCAGAGAGAAGCCCTCATGGTAGACTCATTCTTGAAGTGATTTGACATAATCACAGTCCCATCTGCGGGCTCTGTTTCAGTAATCACAGCTCTGGGATAACTATTTACAACCCACACGTTGCCAGACATTACCGTTTCTGATTATAAGCCTGCTTTTGCTTCTTTTGCATTTAAATAATTTGTGGACCTGATCCAAGTGTTAGGGAAGCCTCATACTTTATCATTGAAAAGAAATCGAAGAGTCTAAAATGATGATGCCATCATGCCTTCATAGCTATATGAAGGGAGTTTGAAGGAGATTTGGCTTCCTGACAGCCAGTGAAATAATATCATTCAATGGGTGCAGTCTGTCCCTTATCTTTTCTCCATAGCTGTACCCCTCATATTTTCATTGATCCCCCTCGTATAGGACAGAGTGTTTCTGATGCCTGCTGTGTCTCTTTAAATTGTGCTCTTTTTTGGTCACATGGGATGGCTTGTAAATGTTTTCTTGATTGCTAGACATTATGTCATGGGTACACAGAATGGTTTCAAACAGATCTTTAATGATGTGGTGGTAGGCAGTGAGTGAACATACTGTAGTTCTGTGGCTGGGTCCTCCCAGCTTAGGGCCGTAAACACTTGATAAGTATATTTTTGAATGTGCTAAAGAAATGCTGTGAAATATAAAAATATACTTTGATGGCTTTTCTCAACCACACCCCCAACTTGGTCTCGACAGAGTGTTCGTTTTCCTTGGGTGCTAGAAAGCTGGAAATCACTGACCCCAAATTTGCAACACTCACGTGTATGCACCTGGTGTATTTATTATTTTCTTAAAATGTTACTGAAAGTGGCTCTTCCTGGTGGTGCAGGAGTTAAAGTGCCACACTATGAAGCTGTCCTCAGCCGCTGAAGCACAAGTTCGATCCCCGCCAAGGGAGTGATCCACAGAGAGCAGCAGATCCCTCCTGTCTCCCCCAATGCTCCCCTCAGCAGTGGATTTTGGTCAGTCTGCCTGTTCTGCTCCCCATTCTGTCTCAGGCCTCTCACCCTCACATCTCTGGCCTGTACCCCACTTCTTGTAAGCATTAATAAATAAATAAATCTTAAAAAATGTTATTGAAAGATATATTCAGCTCTCCTTTTTTGTTTTCATCTGTGTTTTCCATCCCCTCGCCCTCAAAATTATTTAATTAAATCCCACTTTCTTGCCAGCAACTGCCTACATATTTAATCATTCAATACTAAAGCCTTAAGGATTTTATGGAACAAAACCCACAGATGTCTTTTCTCATAATTTTTATTTTTGAAATGGCACTAGAAACACTGGCCTATGCTATTAAAGATGAAAAGCAGTCACTGTAGCTGTTGAAAGTTACGAAGATAACGTGCCATTATTTGTCAGCTGGAAGCTTGCTTTTTGTGATTTTCCAGACAGAACAAAATGAAGCGAATCGAAAGAAATGAGGAGGGTCAGGGCAGAACATTGGCCCTCAGCGTGTGTGGTTCAGGTCTCACAGACTCCGCCCCCACCCCAGACACTGGAGCTCCAAATCCAGTCAGTACGGATGACGTGAGGGCGGAGCTGAGCAGCCAGGTTGGGATAAAACCGGACATGTGGGCTCTGGGGATCTCTGGGCCTGTGGCTCACAGCTTGTCTCTTGGCTCCGCACTGGCTTTCAGTGTGCTCTTGGGGTTCCAAGTGAGCGGAACTAGTAGGAAGCATTAATTAACTTCTCTCTCTCTTTCCCTGTTATCCATTTCCCTTTTCCCTTGTAAATAAAGCCGTTGTTGATCTTTGTGGGTGTCTCTGGCACTTTCTCAGTTCCTGCTGAGATGTGCTTGCCTTTCTCCTTCTCATTTTCTTACAAATCTGCAGTATCTGCAGTGAAATGTACTACCTGCCTGGTAAATTCAATGCAGAATGCTTCAGTGTACTGTATATACATACATACAGTGTACTGTATGTATTTATGTGCTATAGTCATGCGTATTTATGTGCATTTTAATATATGGTAAAGGGCGTATCAGTGTCAAACCTCACTATAATAATTTTTTCACTGTAATACTTATTATATAAATGTAACATTAATATAATACAAGAAAATCTTTATTTGTAGATTTCATGTATTCCAAACTGGAAGTATGTTAAACCTGTACAATTTCTTTTTTTTTTTTTAAAGATTTATTTATTTATTCATACAGAACTGGGGTACAGGCCAGAGATGCGGAGGGTGAGAGGATTCATCAGAGACAGAGTGGGGAACATAACAGGCAGATCAATGAAGCACACTGCTGAGGGGAGCAGCGGGCGGGTCAGGAGAGGTCTGCCACGCCATGTGGTCACCTCCGGGGCCAGCGGGAATCGAACTCATGCGGAAGTGGCTTAAGCTTCTCAGTGCTGTGCTTTAACCCGCTGCGCCACCACGGAGGGCCCACAATTTCTTTTTTAAGCTTTATTTATTGATGCATACGGAACTGGGGTACAGGCCAGGGGTGCAGGGGAATTAAGAGGATTCACCAGAGACAGAGTGGGGAGCAGAACAGGTGGATCCACTGAAATCCACTGATGAGGGGAGCAGCGGGGAGACAGGAGAGGTCTGCCACACTCTGTGGGTCCCTCCCAGGCCAGGGATTGAATTTGTGGTGTTAGCTTCACAGTGCTGAGACGTAACCCTTTGCAACACCAGGGAGGCCCCTGCAGAGAATATGTTTGAAATCCCTTCCCTGATATTAAAAAAAAAAAAAAAGTAGGATCAGTTATCTCAAAACCAACCTCACTTTATGCTGTACAGATAACGTGTATTTAGCTGCATTTAATACATGATAAAGGAAGCATCGGTGTTAAACCTCACTCCTAATAATGGACATGTAAGTAATTCTCAGTTCAATAAAAATACGTGTCATTCCAGGAGAGAAAAAACAAGAATAATGAACAGCCATATACCAGAGATATTTTGTGGGGGTGGAGTGGGGAATGGGATCAAAAACGGGGGTAGGGAGGGAAATGCATGGGATTATGGTGATGGCACACGGGTGTCTTGGTGATGGGAAACCGCGGGGATTACAAGTGAGATGGAAAAAAAATGTACAAAATGATGTAAAAAAATATTAAAAAGAAAAAAAGAAAAATAATAATGTGTCATTAATATCAGATGTAAAAATATTGCTAGACATTTGTAAATTGGGCAGAGAGCTGTAAATTCTAAGAGTCTTCTAGGGAACTATTAGCTACTATAAATCCAGTGTCTGAAAAATGTTCATAATCTTTAATGTGGCATATTTATTTCTGGCAATTTCTCCCAAAGAAACATACAGAAAACTAATATTTTTACACAACCATGTTGTCAACAGCAGGCATATTTTGGAACAGCATAGATACATCTACATATATCTACATATAAGTGACTACATGTAAGTGACTATGATCTCGACAGAGGTTTCTAGAACTGTTTCCACCAGAAGCATCTGCAATCTGCCTGTCTCTCCTTTACTGCATATTTCCTCCCGACAGGAACCTTCCTGAAATGTGTGTGCCCTCTTTTAATATATTTCAAATGCCTAGCTCTTTGGAAATGTTTGTTGTTTGGATAAAGCTATTATTATGGAAATTGCCATTTGCAATCTGATCATTTAACTCTTGTGATGCTTATCCAAGAACGTTGCCTATGTCATTGTTAATGCAGCTAACTTTTAAAATAAGCTGATGGCTGATGATATGAAGGTGTGTTGGGAAAAGCTGCAGCTGGAGCCAGTCACTTGATATCAAATATAATTATCTTATAATTGAACTGTCATTAAATTCTTTAGTCTAAAGTTTTAAGCGATGCAGTGTATGTTCAATGGCGTTTAAATAATTCTCTCTGTCTAGTCATTCGGGGTGGAGTGTGTGCTGTTGAATGCTTCTGTGTGATTCATGTTAACTGATAAATTTCTTTTTAAACTTGCAGCAAATAGTGGCAGCAATAAATGCAGGGATTATACCTTTAGGAAACACCTCCAATCAAATCAGTCACTGGGATTTGGGAAGCTCCTTCTTCTTCGCTGGCACTGTTATTACAACCATAGGTAGGAGACAACTTATTTTTTGCTTTTTATTGCGGTACAGTGTGTGAGCTAAAAATCGTTTGTCTCAATTTCTTGCAGTTGCTTAAAATGTTTCACTGAAAGTAGAGAAGAGGGTTGTAGGAAATCAATTGCAAAAAGAGTGTCTAAATGTTGAGAGACCCGACAGGCCCGATGGGCAGGGAGAGTTAGAACCGTCTTGAAATGCTCACGCCTCTGAAATGTGCTCTTTGCTTTTGGGGTTTGGTCCAGACCCTGCTCCCAGACCCTTTTCTTGAATGTCCTTGACAAATGATGACATTGTGTGAGGTCTTCGGGTCAGTCCTGTTTTCAGGGGACCCATCAGAATGGGGCGCTGAAGCTGGTCCCTGAGAGCCGGGCGAAAGGAGCCGCCACGTCAGCTGACAGCGTGTCTCATCCCAGGCCTGCCGAGTGTCTCTACATGTGTCTCTTCCAGGTCGCCGGCTCGGCAAGCCCAGGGTGCAGCTGGTCATGGCACGTGCTCCTACACCCCAGAGCCGCCTACCTCTGGGTCCCAGCTTCCCCTGGCCGCACAGATGGGCCCCAGTTCCCAGCAGCTGCCAGACTGGGGGGCCAGGTATTGTGGTCTCTGCTTTTGGGGTGCAGTCCGGCCCTTGAACGTTTTAATCTTTTTTTAAAATGTCCTTGATAAATGATATGACACTGTGTGAGGTCTTCGGGTCAGTCCTGTTTTCCGAAGTCCTGGACAGAGGGCCCAGGCCATTTCTGGGTGAACTCTCGCTTCAGATGTTCCTTGTGGAAGAATTTAGAGGGCTCGGTCTTGGTCTGAGTCTACCGGGTCTTTGCGCTGCCTCTCTGGCCAGCGTTGACTTCTGCCTTTGTGAAGAGGTCAGGGCGCGTTCGGCCTGGTGACATCTCCCCCAGCCTGGTTAACAGTTGTGACTCCCTGAACATCTGGAAAGGCGACCTTGATTTCTAACCATAATAACAGGTTCAAAGTCGCCCTGAACCACCTCGGCCATTTCTGCGATGGACATAATTGCTTACTGTGTAAACTGCTTCGCGTCTGCAAGGGGAAAGAAGCGCACAGGCGGAATGAGGGATGCTTTAGACGTATACTTCAGTGCATGAAAAAGTAAACCGTTATCACCAGCCTTCCCCCAAATTACAGCCATGCGATGGTGGAGACATCGGCCCGACAGTCCAGTGACCTGTTGCTCTGTCTCGGGCTTTCCTCTCAGATGGTGCAGGAGGCTCGGGGTCACTCACATGTCTGCCTGGCCCTCCTAGGTCAAGGCCCTCTTCTGTGACCGTGGTCCAGAGCTTGATCTAGGCAATTAAAAATGTCAACCTCTTTCAGAAGGAGCCGTTTGAATCCAAATCGTTATTTAATACAACGCAAAGGATCTTTGTTAATATCACTAGTGATAATAGCTAC